TTAAACAGGACCGGCATTAACATTTTGTCACTTCTTGTAATTTTTTGGAAAATATTTTTGATACTCAAATCTCATAATCGCCTTATGGTAGCATATATTATTTTACTTCATTTATTGTCAAGAGTCTAGGTTTTTAATTTTCTGCAAAGACGCCACACCCTGTATATTACTACATATTAGGAAAGCTTATGAAAAGAGAATCAAGATTCGTTGAAAAACAACGGAGTTGCAGACTGTCAAATATATTATTTTCAAGCGAATTTCCCTTATTTAACGGCAGGACTATAAATATTATCGTCATTTTCTTCGAACTCGCTGTCGTTCGCTTCCCCCACCCTTCCGCCGCGTCACGGGTCGCCGAAAATCAAGCGACCCACTGACTTTTGACACTATTTCTTATGCACTTAACATACTTCCACAAATAAAATATTTTTACCTGGAAAGTACTCGGGTTGCCGGTTATGATTTTTTCTCGCCGCTACCAACCTAATTTGTTTAACAATCGGCCGTCAAATTTGACAGTCTGTAACTTCGTTGTTTTTCAATGAATCTTGACGATTTTTTTTAACTTAAAGCTCTTTTCTTTCCGAATATGTAATAGTGTATAATTATATCACACTCGTGCGTCATATATTTCATTTTGTAACTAAGGCTAAAAAATAAAAAAAATCCAGGTTGCAAATTTGAAATTATAAAAAAAATGAGAGATTTCAACGTATTATTATGAAATTTACCTTGAAAAAAATCAGTGCGATTGTGGTCCTCGGGATTAGGATTTCTGATTTCTCGGCCTACTTTTTTTCTCAAGACTCGAGAATTCTCGACTAGGAATTCCCGGGAATTCTCGAATTCTCGAGAAATTTCTAAAACTTAAAAAAATCATAATTTTAATATTGCAATGCGAAATATAAACATGCTATTATACTTAACAACCATCATCAACATTTATTATTTATCCAGTATTTTTATTAATTACTTATGTTTCTACTTCTACTAACAAAACTAAATTAAACTTTGAATATCTTCTTCCTGAAACTTTTAATTTGTTTTTTTTATTAAACACTTTCAATATACTTATCTTTGTTTCAATGTTTTTAAATCGTAGCTTTCTTCCAATAATTAATAATAATCATTAATCATGCAGTCTTCTAATTAAACAAATAGTAGATAAGGAATGTACCTAACCGAAGAAATCTTAAAAAAAAACAAGCTTTATTTAAAGATACAGAAGCGTTCTTCCTATTAATTTATTACATATAATCACAATATTTTAATTAACAAAACAAAAAATAAAATAATCAACTAAAGGAACAGGAACTAAATATTTTCAGAATCAACATCAACATTAGGTATCTGCTAATAAAATTTCTACACAGTCTTATAAAAATAGTACATTAAAAAATTATCAAAGTATACTAAAGCCTTAAAACTTAAAATAAATAAATCATGAACTAGTCGAGAAACCACCTTAACCGCTCAGCTATTTGTCGAGAAACGAATTGAACGCATGACGAAACGAACGTTAAGCCGCGCGTGATTTTTAAATTTCTCGATTTCTTGGCACTTTTTTCTCGTCTCGAGTAAGGCTAGATTTCCCGGGAATTCTGGCTTCGCGAAGTCTCGACCAGAAACCCTACTCGGGATCGTCCAGACTAATAATTAGTTAATTTGTTTATAAGGCCATAACTTGTAAACTATTCAACTTACCGATTCCAGATTTCGTGTGAGTTATTAAACAATGATAAGGATACGATGCCAAAATGTTCTGGTAATAATAACGCAGTTTATAAATGTTTAATTCAAAAGTCATAAATAAACTTCTCCTGTTTATAACTTTTGATCTAATCAATGTTTTTTGACGCTCGAGGGCTAGTTTTGTAGGTCTTTTGAAGACGAAAAAAAAATACTTTACTATTTTCTCGTGGAAATGAACGGAAAAAAGTTATAAGCGAAAAACGTGAATTTACATAAAAATTATACAATTAACCACCTTGTAAACAATCTTCCCCCATTTTTATGACTCCTTAAACTAATATGTTATTGTACATAATATTTGGCATCTATAGTGACAAATTCAGCTTGCCGAAACAAAAAGTCACGAAATGGTCATTTTCCAGCTTATTTTCCTGGCCTAAGTCTTTATTTTCTCATTCATACCAAACGGGGCATTAGAAAAATTATTAATTAGACCTACTTATATTAATGCCCCGTTAAAATTTACGACGGAGTAATTCTGAGATTCCCCGCGATTCCGTTAATCTTCATTACAACCCGCGAGGGAAAATAACTTATGTGTACTTACGGAACGGGCTCGCGTTATGCAGATTAGGAGCCGAGTAAATGAATATGTGTGGCTGATGTGGGACAAACATTTCGGGAGGTTATTTGCCCGTGTAATCCTTCTAAAAGCCTAATGGATTAGTGCTAAAGTATTAATCATTCCGATGTTGTGCGCGCCGGGCGAAATTTAACAGGAATTGAAGGTCCGCCTTTCAGGATGTGGCGAAAATAAAAAAAATGGGTCGCATCGGCCGTGTTCCAGCTGACGGCGGAAAAGTAATGGGGTGGCAATGAAAATTTCACACAATTTGAAGAGCGCTGAACAATTTTACATCATTTATATTATTTTTTCAGAAAATTGGATTAACTAACATTTTTTGTTTGTTTAATCAACGTGGATTTTCAACGAAATAGTAGTTTTTCACGCAGAGTTGACGTTCGATCACGTCTCATGATAGCATGGCCAATTTTCAAGGACGATCTTCGCTACTGTTTCTCGCTTTAGGTGCCTTTGGATTGGGATTGCGATCACTGCTGTCGTCTTAACCTTTCATCGAACGTGGTTTGGGTTCCGGATTTATATTTATCACATCGGTCGTTGGTCGGAATTCAAAAGATCGGTGAAAATTTTATTTCTTGACTAGCATTGTCTGAGTAACTTGAGACTGCACTCAAATTGAAAATTGGTTTGCCCGACTGGTTTTATGGATTGAATTGGAAACATGGGTAAAAAGACACTATCCTCATCTCGCATTGCCGTTCTCAATTTAGCAATTTTTTATTAGTTACTTTTCGTTAGAAACTTAAATACCGAAAAATGTGAAATTAATAATGGACGTTAATAATTTTGAATATACATTTTAAATGACGATGATTCCGGGGCTTATACTTTTAGCAACGTGAAATTCTGGCAGCAATCTCTCGGCCCTAAAAAAAAAATTGAAACTCGTAAATCCGAAGAGAGAAATGAGAAAAATGAGTGAACTGGCTGACATCTCCCTAGGCCGACATCGCCACCCCATTATGAAACAACGTCACTTTAATTCAATTTCATATTTCATGTCCTGCATAATCAGGGCAGAGATCAGCGACGGTGATGCTTTAAAAATGAATTCCGCAGCGATATTTCACGGAACACATTAGGAGAAATACCCGTCAAATGTCTACAGGGACGATATGCGCTGAAAAAAATGTTCATTGTTAAATGACACTCCAGATTTTTAGCTTTTTTGGTGGTAGGGTTCCATTTATTATTAAAAGGCGCCTTAATATTTCAAAATCGTTTTCAGCATGGTATAAAAAGTGCAAAAATATACAGGACGCTCTATTAAAAGAAGTTAGATAATCAAGTGGGACACCTTATACAGGGTGGCCAAATGAAAACGAAACTGACCATTTTCAGGAACTGCGTCAAGATTGTAGAAAAACGCTCAGACCCGTCGATTTTAGATTAAATGGGGACATTCTTTGCTGGTATTTTTGACTCCGCCACTTTCACCCCCAAGCAAGGGTAAGCATCAACCCAAAATGTTTAAATGGCATTGGGGGTTGAGTAATATTTCTTTTGAAAGCTCTTGCATTTCTCTTTACAACAGACTTTAAATTTTATAATTTCGCCCAATACTTATTAAGAATTTTGATTTTAAAGTTGAAACTTATGTACAAACAATTAATAACGGTAAAAATTTCAGTCATTCGAGTAGGTACGCGAATGGTATAAATTTTGTATTTCTTGCGTGATATTGGTGTTTGGCGATTTGTTGTCACTTTCGTAAAAAAACGCAATTGTAAAAACAGAAATGAATGCTATACACCCACAATGAACGTAAAATTAGTGGATTCCAAATTATTTTCTAGTATTATTTGGAAGTGTTGGTTGGTAGTTTATTTAATTGTGTTTTTGAAAATTAAACACCCATAATATTTTGGGGTGATGCTTACCCTTGCTTGGGGTGAAAGTGGCGGAGTCAAAAATACCAGCAAAGAATCCCCCTTTAAATCTAAAATCGACGGGTCTGAGCGTTTTTCTACAATCTTGACGCAGTTCCTGAAAATGGCTCTGTTTTCATTTGGCCACCCTGTATGTATAGTCCAGTCCAGTAAAGAGTATCCAGTAAAGAAGATGACAGACCCTTCAAAACATCGATCGATTAACATTAATATAATTTTACTTCCTGAAGAAGGTACGGATATTCTTTTATATGAGATATTTCAGTGAATTTTGGTCTAGGGAAGTTTTTGGGGTGGCCGAATTTGATGATATTATCTTTTACTTAAAAACATGGATTTCGCTGAGAAAGCCTTAAACAGTATTTTGTTTTTTACCACTTTTTCTGTCATCTCTGTTTCTGAAGTAAAGAAACATTTTTCTCAGGACACCTTCACTTTCATCACTTCGTATAGCACGTGCCGTAATATTCGCCATCGTTACATATGTACAAGGCCATGGAGCCGACCGCATGTATAAATCTTCATTAGAGAAGTTGACACCCCCTTTTACTCCCGGGGTTACTAGAAGGTTTATAAGAACGAAATTAGAAATAATCTGGAATAAAGCTATGCTGGTTGTTATTCCACAGAATCTTAACTTTACTCTGTCCCTCATTCTATTCACAAGGTTATGTCAGATGTAGTTTGTACAGGAACAGATTATTATTCCGTAGATAGGCTTATATAACAATGAAAATTGTAATATTTCTATTGTGTTATTTCTTTTTCAGAGAATATTATAAAATATGAAGCACCTCGAGGGGAGGTTCGAGAACCCGACATAGACCTTGAGGACATTAGCTACGATGGCATTTTAGATGGAAGTTTAATGAAGGGTGGTCTAGGACAACTTGTTGACGGACTCTACGGGGATGACGACTACCAGAAACAATTACAAGGAGAACATTCAGGTAAGACAATATATTAAAAAAATTGTTTACAACAAAATCAGTTCTATTATCTGAAATTACGTATTTTTAGTAGTTTTAGTTTTTTTCTGTAATGAAATAATTTTTTTTTAATGTTAATTTTTGCAATAAATCTGGAAACACTTAGTATTTCCGAAACAGTTGAAGATAGGTATAGGACATTGTACATGAAATATGTCTAGAATTTTCTGAAGAAGCCAAATATTGAATAATATAAAGGGTGCATTTAAAATAAGAAAATTTTGTTTTTTTCATACAAAAAATTTAGTAATGGTGGTTTTTACTTCATTCTACTTTTTCTAAAACAGTAGAGCAAAAAATCCACCATGACTAAGTTGAAGTTATTCACAATAATTAAAGAAACTATGTAGATTAAAGCAGGTTTAAAGTCTCATGGAAGTTTAAACCTGTTTCGGCTATCTCCGAAGTTAATTCATACCATCGGATTTTTCACGCATCCTTCCAAATTATAAACATGTAACAGTCGCCATTATACATCGTCTAAAACGCCCCTTAAAAAGTAGAGAGCACGGTAAAAGGTAGCTATTAATTATCGAGACTTCAATTCGCAAAAACTCATTTGCTAAACTTTTGCCGTTTAAAAACGGCCATTAATCCATGTCTATGAATAAACCGACAGCGCTCTTTTGTAGATAACTTTATTTATGGCTGACATTTAGTGTCTCAATAACTGCGAACGGGAGTCGGTTCTATTCAATCGAAAAACTTAATGATTTCATCAAAATAGCGACACCTGGGTGGCACAGGCCTCTGAAAGGCAGATATTTCAGCTTGTGTGGCTGAATATATCCATTCGAATGCTTTCACATCGCTTGATTGCTGTTTATACAGCCATTTCGATTTTATTTTACCGCTTTTTGCTCCAGTGATTTATTAATAACAGGTCAAAATACTATTTGCCCTGGCCATGAATACAGGGTGTTAATGAACTTATGTCAAATATTTTTGCCATAATTATGTCAAAATGAGGTAAATACACGGATTTGTGTGGAGTAAAATGTAATTTTTAAATCTGACTTACCTCAACATTGCAAGAAGCCACCTTTTGAGAACTGCTGCATTTGCTTGTACACAAACTTCAGCGCGACGTATCCAATTCGCTCGCACGCGTTGCAACATTGCCACGTCCTCTCGAATCGTATTACACGAACTTCCGTGGAATATACAAGACTTGACAAGCTCTGTGGGCATTTTCGTTAGCTTCGCCATAAATTATGAGCATATCATAATATCCGCGATTGCTAAATAAATGATCCATTTTCAAAAGAAAACTTGGAAATACGGCTATTAGATGTACTCTCGTAAAACAGCACAGCAATCACTACAACAATGTCTTACAAACTGACTTTCGAATACAGTCCGGCTAAAAAACCTACAAAATCGTAAAAAAGTTACAAAATTTTTTGTAAGTACTCACCGCGGTAAAATACATGTATTTCAGTAGTCCCAAAACAGTTTTAAACACATTTTTAATTAGCTATTTTCTCTATGACCTTAAACTTCCGATACAAGTTTGTTACATCAGTTAACTCAGTTCTTGCTCCTTTTTCACCCCTTTAAATTTTTGACAAAAGTTCATTAACCTGTATACAGTACGTTTTCTAAGCATTGTGCATATATAAGTCGTGAACACAAAATATTTAAAGAAGTTTTAAAGTATAAAACTATTAAACCCCGTTTTTATAAACTTTAGATAGAGCAGTTAAAATATGAAGCAAAATAGACACTAGATAGATACAGACAGTAGTAAAATTCACCATAGATTTGTTGTAAAGAGTTTGTTGGAATACCTTTTGGTTTGGTAAATGTCCGAGAAAAGTTAATTACGACTTAGGTAAATAACGACAGCTGAATGTAACAATTCGCTAGTATTAAATATTGCAGTGAAATTTCCAGTACGTTTCAAAAATGATGTTCAAACGGTTAGAATAAAGTTTATGTTTGAAAAAAATACCATACATACTCATTATTTAATTAACTTGATTTCAATGAAACGTAATAAAAATGTTTCATTGAGAAACATCATCCAACGTTTGTAATATAATTTGTGGTGTTACTTATAGCATCTCTGCTTAATTTCTTTCTGTGGAGGGACATTTCGGAAACATTTTATTGTGCATAGCAGGATATTGACGCTGTAGAATGGTGTGAGAAAATAAGACAATAATATTATAATCAGTTCATGCTTATTTGTATCAACATTGTTATATACATATAAATATTATTATAAATTATAAACATATTTGCACAAAAACTACCAAGCCACATCTAATCGAGAACTTCAGTATTTCAGACTTGAGCTTTTCCGAATTATCATTGTTTCCAGTTCAATCACCCTCAACGGCTTTGTTTGTCATTCTAGTCTATATTTAATTCCGCCATTTATATTCATTCTATATCGCGCTTCTGTTAATACAGATTTACATAAAATTATTTATAATTGGTTAGGAAATCCTAATCTAAAATTAATTTGTCACATAATATGTTCCCGACGATTTAATTGGAAATTAATTTCAATTTAATTCCGCAGGAAATAAATGATTAGTTCTGTTAACCAAACTTTGAACGCCCTTTATCTCTCTGTTTGGTCTTATTTTTCTAACGTACTTTTGTATCTGAAATTCAATTAAAAACTTAAAACGGGAATACAAGAATACGTTTTCCGTGTATTTGTTTCTCTGTTTAATAGTTTCGATGCATAACTGCAATTTCTTAACGATTTGAATATCACAAAGCTTGTATTATTTCGATTGCATAAAATGGCGAAGGCGCTAGTTTTAAAAAATCTATGGAAAAGTTTTAGGGCGATTTTATTTCAATATCGTCATATTTAGTGACAGTTTAAAATTTCAAGTTAAGTTCATCGTTATAAGTTAGAAGTTATACCAGGTGTATCGTAAAGAGCTGCCTTAGAAATTTTACAGTTTAATTTGAAAAATTATACTGAGATAACAAATAAAAATATAAAAACATTAATCTATTAAATAATATTTTAAAAAAGAGTGATCACATGGTGATTCAGTCATAATGTCATTAATTTTAAGGGAAGATATCAAAAGGTATCAAGAGATTCAAATCATTATTTAAATCCTTTTTCGGTCCACTTCTGGCCGCTGACCTACAAAGGTTTATGGAAAGTGAATCTTGACCTACCTTATTATTCGGTCATTGACCTAGTTTTTACCACGTATTTAATACGCAGTGAACGACATTAAATATTAACAAATATTATTTATTCTTCAATAAAAACAAATGTATAAGGATAATAATTGTTTTCGAATGTTAGGTTAACACAATTTAGTATTTTTAAAATCGTTATACTTTTCACTATGTTTTATAATTGAATACGAGTTTTTAGTATTATGTTCAATTATTAATTATTCAGTTTATAGTACAAAACGGTTAATGTTACGCCCATGTAATACACTGTTTTGTTCATTTATGATTAATCTATTTTATGCTGAATCGAATGGAAAAATAATTTTCGTATTACGCCCTCAGCAAGTGCTGCCCCAGGCCCTCCCGACCTATCCCCCTGATAAGAGGCGTACAAAACGGCCGGTTCAAACAAATTTCTCAGTGTACGAACAAGAGCTCTCGGGTACGGAGCAGTCGCCCGACACAAAGGCGCCCCGCTTAATATTCTTTCCGGAGTTTGCACACCTGGAAATTTTTGTATTTAAAATTCATGTATTCGACAACGGGTAAGATAAAGGCCGCTCCGGCCTCGCTGTCGGCGCAGATAACGTCGCATCCGAGGCCCAAATATGTTCCCGGCATGTACGGACACGTTCATAGGCGATCACAGCGCTAATCTCGGCGGATGTACGAATGTAATAAAAGTAAATGTGCGCTGGAAGAGGCCCTGATATGTGTGCTGGTAGTACCTGCGCGAGATTTTCCTGTTTGCACTGGGAGATGAAAATTTATGCGTGTTTTAGCATAGAAATTAATATACAATCTCGATGGGCAAACAAAAGGAATAGGACGGATCGAGTTTGCGGTAAAACCGCGATCGGTGGCATATTACAGAGAAGCCAGTAATACTTACTATCTATTTCACTGTTTTCAAAATTTGTGCCTTCTGGTTTCCGTTTCGAGTTTTTTTAAATGGAACCGTGAACAGGCGAAATACTAGGTTTTGGAGCCCAGAAAATCCGCATTGGATGCAAAATAAACATACACAACGGCAGGAAAAAGTGAATGTTTGGGCTGGGATAGTAGGAAATCGCATACTGGGACCTTATTTCTTTGGGAGCAATTTGACAGATGACATTTATTTGGATTCTTTGCGTTTTCAGCTGCTTCCAGCCCTGAAATTAATTTTTCCTACCGCGAATGATCACGATATGTCTGCTGGTGATGTCTGGTTCCGACAAGATGATGCCCCTCCACATTTTCGCCTCGATGTAAGAAATTACCTTAATGAAGTTTTCCAAATCGATCGATAGGTAGAAGAGGACCGCTTGAATGGCCACCACGCTTCCCTGACTTAACTCCACTAGATCTTTTTTGTGGGGTTATCTAAAAAGCAAAGTGTATGAAACAGACCAGACACTATCGAAGGATTGAAAAATAGTATCAGAGAAGAAATTCGAAACATAACACCAAATGTTATTGAAAATGTAATTGATAACTTTGAACACCGAATTGGGTATTGTGCAATGGTTAATGGGGGCCACTTTGAACATTTGCAGTAGTAAAATAAAAAGTAGTACTAAATTATTGTCTTCATTTAATTCCTCCCTTTCTTGACAACTATCACAAAAAAGTAGGCATAACCTGATATTGCTGACTTCGTCTTTAGAAGGGCTATCTATTTATACCATAAAATATAGAGCGTCCTATTAAAAATAAAGTCGGTAATGTTATAGGTCTGTCAAACATGGCTCAAAAAATAGAAAATATTGCAGAATAGTGACAATTTCTATTTACTAATAGACCTGGTTCAGCGAATTTTTTAAATTTCAACTAGAAAAAAATATGAATTTTGTTCCATGATTTTGGGACACTGTATAACTCAGTCAGTATATCCTTCTTACAATAAATGATCATTTTACATACACTCATAAAAGTTTTATGTAAAATAATACACTCAGCAAAAAAATTAAAGGTGCAATTTTTTTTTAGTGATTTTTAAAAGGCTATAACTTCGCGAACAATGCTCGTATCGAGAAAAAAGAAGAAGCATTTTGAAGCTTGAAGATTCTAGTTTTGAAATCTTGAGATGAAAAAATTTTTTGAGCATCGCTCTCGGCGCAATCAAAAGAAATAATGTAAGGCAAAAATTTTACAATTTTTGTCTTCAAAACTACACATGGGCTCAGATTTTTTTTAATCAGGGTCATTTAGTCTGATTCATCAGCTTCAATTTGATTTTTTTAAATTTTCTGTGCGACTATTTCTCATTGAGAAATCGGCTATTAAGTGAAAAGTCACCTTTTTTTTTATCATCGACATCTCATGACTAATGATGATAAAGCGAACGGATGGTGGGGTTTAGAAACCTAAATCAATCAATACCCTTCAAGGGCCTTTTAGTATGTTTGAGAAAAAAAAAATTATACCTTGACTGAGTGCAAAATTTTTTTTTCTGCACCTTTGGAAAATCAACGACTACTTTGCAAATACTGCGAAAAGTACCAATGTTTGTAGGTTTTTTTTTAGCTCAATACATGCCCATTAGGCTCGTAAATTTTGAAATCGATCGGTCGAACCGTTTTCCTTTCCCGAGTCGCCAAAATTTTATAAAAAAATTAAAGGAGGTTTATTGCTTCTTAAACATTAATTAAAGATTAAGGTGAAACAAATTTTTTTGCGTTACTTTTCTCACAATTTAGCGTTAAATACTCTTCAAAAATCGAAAAAAAAATTAAAAATTTTGAAAAAGATTCAAATTAAAAATTTTTTGCGTCCTCTTTTTTACAATTTTACAATATTTGTAAAATATACTATTTTAATGGAAATTAAATATTCTGTGACGCTATAATAACTTTCAACTTCAACGTTTATTGAAGACGTATAGTATCTGTAAAGTGCAGCCCAAGATTTCCGTTTAAAAATAGGCCTACGCCGCTGGCGGCGCGCCATTCGTTCGCGTGAAACATCGCGACGACATTGCCGGGAGCGAATTCCAGAGCAAACACGCCGCGCAACATATATAACATTATGCGGGCGTCGCCTTCTTACTTCCGAAGAGAAACGGTTTTCCCAAGGTCTGTGTATCGCGAGATAATCAAATATTCACCTGTTGCGGTAAAAAAGTCCGCCGGACGGGGTAAAATATCGTGAGCGGCATTGTTTCGCGCACCGCCAGGCTTTGCCCCTTGAACTTAAACTCAGACTCGGCGGGTGCGTTCGGGAATTATAACCGGTAATACGTTTTCTTGGAGTGAGAGCGCACGATTTCCCTCTGCACGGAACAAGTTGGCTGAAGTTGAGATTGTTCTATTGTTTCGGGGGGGATTCAACACTGCTAAAATGTATTTGAAGTAAAAATGTGCTGATTCTCATGGACCTCATACATCACCGACGTTTGGCAGAGCCACAACCGTAACCGGGGTATTTATTAGTACTGTGATTGTAGGGTCAACCTAATCCATCACTTCATCAAAATCATCAGATTGATTTCTCAGTATCTTCTGTCAATATTACAATATAAATTGTCTCCATCGAAACAATTGGGATTTACACATTTGTAAACAGTTTTGAAGTCTGATAAACGTTCTGCCACTGCCACACCAATTTTTTTGGTACTATTACTACGTCTTTCACAGATTAAACGTTTCTTTTTTCATTTCAGGCAGTAGATGGATAGGCTGGAACAACGACACTCACGATGGTGAACAGCTCAACATCACCTTTGAGTTCGACGCCATAAGAGAATTCAACTCTGTGCACCTGCACACAAACAACATGTTCAGCAGAGGAGTACAGGTGAGTAGTCGCGATTTCAAGTACAGACAATTTTCTAGACAGAAAATATTTAATCGATTCTTTCCTAATTTTTTTGCTTACTACTCAGGAATAGAAATAATATACAGTTCTGATGCAAAGAAGTCGACAGTAATACCTTTAAAACAATATTCAATAATTCTTCATTGATGTGGGTCATTCTAAACATCAGAGACTGATATAATCACTAGATCACGGTGATGAGAGTAGTATAAACACCACAATAATACTTACACATTTACATTTCTTTGCCGAGATCTGTAAATATTTCATTATAACTTGTTGGTCAATCGCCCTGTATGAAATATGTGCCTAAAAAGTAGCTAGTTATTTGTCGGCAAACCTACATTTTATTTTGACGGACCGCGCTGTCTTGTCCCAACGAAAATAAAACCTAACCGTTCGAAAAAACGCCGGACGGCTTGACAGGATAAATGACTATAAACTTTCAAAATCTGTCCCAGCAAAAACAAACCGGATGCCGCTCCGCGCACAGCGAATTCATAGCCCGACGATTCGCCCGTTTGTTTATTTTTTTTCTAGTTTCAATAAAAACAATTTACATTCATTTGGAAATACAGTCATCAGCGGAATATGTTTTGCGGTTTAAAGCAATATCCAGTCCGGTAATGAAAACGTCAAAATGTGTTTTCGTTTGGCTTCAACAAAACACACATTTCCATAGCAAATGGATTTATAACTGAATTACCACAAAATGTTTTTCTTATTGCCTAATGGACTTCAGCGCGACGCTTTGACCGATAGAACAGCGAAGCGTTATTAAAATTAATTTTTTTCCGACCTATACTCTGATCGACCTAGTGGCAAGAAAAAGTTGTTAACGTATTCTATTGTCTACCAGAAAACCCTCACTGTAAAAAAATCGGCGTGAGTGAAAGCAATAAAGGTTCAGGGTGAAATTATTGAGTACATTTTCACTCAATATTGGGCATTTTTACTCATTTGTGATTATATTTTAACTAAAACTGAGTACTTTCACTCAAATATACACTCGTATTTGATGCACTTGTACCTAAATCAGAGTAAATGTCCTCATTACGGAGTGAGTTTAAATGTATATTAATTTAGAGAATTCGAATGGCGCCGTGAAGATGGCACCACTTAAATATGGCTTCTGTAATCTCGACCAAAGTTGAGAAGGGGCCTGTTAGATGCTCCAGAATAGCGTGATCGCCAGGAGAACGGGCCTTAGTCGGCGGCGGCAGTTCTCAGCTGGCGGATCTCAGCCAGGACAGGAGGAGGCCCCCGCGAAGTGAATTAATTTCAACACTGTATATCCTAATTAATCATTTGAGTGATTTATTTTTGCACTCAATATTTAGTAATTAAAAACCAAGTCTGAGTAAAAAATGACTCAATAATAGTTAAATTTAATCGCTAAATTGATTTTATATACTCAGAATAGAGTCAAAAGTCGCTCAATTGATAGTTTTGAGTAAAACTCACTCATGTCTGATGCAATAGTTTCACTCAGTCAGTTGTACTCATACTAATAGAGTGAAAATTTCACTCAATCAGGTACGGACAGAAATTGATACATTATTGAGTAAAATTGAGTGAAATTTGAGTGATTTTTTTTACAGTGCTCAGTTAGGATCTGCCGGCATACCCGTAAGTTTTATCTGAACATTAATATGGCCTACACAATTTTAATATTCCGCCTCTTCTTCAATAGAAGCTGAAAATAATCTATTTAACTGTTAAGAGACGTTGACAATATGACACTTTTCAAAAAGTTACAGCCTCCGACAAGTTAAACTTGTTCTACAACTGCCAATTCTTGAGCTAGTCGTGATTGAGAATTATTAAGATTGTAGTAAATCAGCTGCACTAAATTGGTCAAGAATTTAGGAAATTTCGAAGAGTTTTAGTGACTTTTAATATTTATTCAATAGTAGGTACCAATTTTACTTACATTTTAGAAAATCTGACATTTGCTTTTACTTAAAAATAAATCAACTTTCACCAATAATCCGTTTACAACATATGCCATAAATATACGGAATTCATGAATTTATTTCCTGAAAACTTTATTAAATGTAAAAGTCAACTACAATACAGGGTGATTCACAAATGGTGACCAAATATGAAACCACGTATTAAAGGATTAAGGACTAATAACTAAGTATTTTGAAACCTTGCATACATTTTCGATCTCTGTTTTCAGCTAAACCACGAACCATTTATCAAATTTTAGCTACACTTTCAAATAAGTACAGACCTCAGTCGAAATAATTCTCTTCTCCGATAACTGTTCAGACGCCGTTTACTTTTTGCCAGTGTCTCCACCCGATCGCGAACAAGAACGAACCAGAAGCAAGACGGCAACTTCCATCTAACGCGGAGTAAACCGCCAAGTTGACTCGGCGAACTAACTTCCATGCAGGTAGGCACCACGCATTGACCTTTGACCGTGTAACTCCGCTGAAAGGCAAGCGGGGCGTCTTCAGGTAATCCCCGCTAAGAGGCCGTCTTTATCGAAACTTCGTGGGAGATTAAAGGGCTGCCGACTCCATCGAGGTGTAACTTTGCCGAGGATAAATAACGACACGATCAAACATTTAATTAAAGGACTCCGCCTTGGACATGTCGGGAGTCGCCGAGGTGTTTGTTTTGTAGATTATTTGGTTTATATTAAGGCGCAGAAGTTAAATAATTAATAGCATAATTAAAACTAATACAGAAATTGATAAAAGTATTTAAATGCAAGTCACAAGTAGGGCTGTCAGAGAGAGCCGCAATTCAATGGCGTGCCAAGCGGGTCAACCGAGACATGCGTAAACCGCTGTCTCAGAATGCTTTTCACGTTCACCTCACGTTAGTATACTGTTGTCTTTCTTATCATGCGGAATTCCTATTCTATTATAAATTTTTTACAGTGTATATAGTTGTGATTTAGGTCACTCTCTCAATATCAACGTTTCAGGTATTTTCGCTGGCGGAAATTTGGTTCAGCCTCGACGGCGAGCGGTACCAATCGAACCCCATCCGGACCGTCATCCCCGCGGACAGGATGCGAGAATCCGCCCGAAATATTACCATCCAACTCCGTGGACGCCCTGCCAAATTCATCAGGCTAAAACTCTTCTTCGCCGACAAATGGATACTGCTGAGTGAGGTGTCCTTCGAATCAGGTAGAGTTTAATATTTTTATACTTAATACAAATTACAATACAATAAGATTGTTGCTTGTTTTGTTACATACGAAAAATAAACTTCATAATGTCAAAGCACAAACAACGGGAGTTAGTGTTTCATCAATATAACATTTTAAATCTACTGAGAACAGATTATGGAAAGCTGCGTATGTTAAAGTCAATACGTTTTAGGCCTTCATACTGTGAAAGTAAATTACAAATCCCACAGATCTTTGAATTCAGTCAATTTGAAACAAAAGTATTGGACACCAAACGCCAAAGCCGTATTCAATAATTGGCCTAACATAAATCTTGTAAAATTTAACGGTTGTTGCAATATCAGGGAGGAAAAACCTTTGGGAACCACACGCAGCGTGTTCATTGCTTTCCTCCAGCTGGGACTTTGACTAGGTTTGACCAGGATAGGTCGTCAAACATAACAATTCCAAGGTCAATCTGTGATTTAACTGCAGGAATAATTATATTGTTGATGAAATAAGTAGTCTTCGAATTGGAGAGGCCAATTACTACACCATTCTTGAATAAGGCTTAAACCACTCTGAAGCCAGTTTGTCGAAATGGATTTGAGTGTCATCTGCATATTGACAACATTTGCGCTATGTCAAACCGGTTAGATCGGATGAGTAAATTAAAAATAGTAGTGGACCCAGTACAGATCCCTGAGGAACACCACTTACAAAGTCTAGAGTATCAGAATATGAATCACCAACACACTATCCAGGGAAATAGTTTCCCACGAACGCCACAATGGTGAAAAGCCTTGCCAACATCAAAATGTCCTATATCTTGATTCAATCAACTGTCTCAGAATGATTAAGTGCTTTAGTCTAATCGTTGAGACAATGAAGAGGATTGGTGGTAGTAGATCTGTTCGGAAGGAAACCATTCATATACAGGAATAACCTTGTTGTCAAAATAATATGAGAAAGTTTTACTATGATGGTATTTTGACTATTCATTTAATGAAAAAAAAATCATCTCTGTGGACACGCTGTTCAATGTCAAGAACCTTTCTGATAATTAAGATAAACGTCCTTCCAGTGTCAATTTGCTTCATTTTTTGGCAGGTTATAACGCTGATTTGTATACAGTGATATGACAGGAAGGTTGGAAATATTCGATCAAATAATACAAGAAATTGAATGAACTGGTCTAAGATCACCATTTACCATTAATTTAACAAAGTGCAATAACCGCGTGTTTACTATTTATAATAGTTTAGTTCTAAGGAAATTTCGAAAGTGAATGTTTTTTTTCCCATTATAGTATTGATACTAGAGGGTGTTAATGAACTTAATGTCAATTATTTTTGCCACAGTCCGTTATGTCAAAATGAGGTAAATACACAGATTTGTGTGGAGTAACATGTAATTTTAAATCTGACTTCCCTCAATATTGTGAGGAGCCACCTTTTGAGAACTGTTGATTTTCATAGATGTTCCATGTATCCACCATTTCCTTGCACACAAGCTTCAGCGCGACGTATCCAATTCGCTCGCACGCGTTGCAACATTGTTACGTCCTCTCGAATCGTATTATAAGCTTCGGCATTCGGCACATGCTTCATCTGTAACAAGTATTTGCGCTGTAAATTGTATATATTTTAATGTACATATAAAATTGTTCTATTTACGAGTTAACAAAAAAAAAAAGAAAAAAGCTTGCATCGGCCGGGAATCGAACCCGGGCCGCCCGCGTGGCAGGCGAGCATTCTACCACTGAACCACCGATGCTTACAGAACTACCTCTTGCGTTTCATATTAAAGATGTATCCATTTCAAATTAAATTTACAGTAACATATCCTTTTTAAAATTGTTTTTATAAAGTAACTTATTATTTATAACATACACTATTGGTACAGCAGAATTTGAAGGGTCCTGTTTTATGACCAACAGTTTCATCCTAACTTAGTGCCTGTTTCTACTGTTTGCTTAGGGCATGTTGGTTTTACGGCCTCCAGAAGAGGAGTTCACTGCATTTAGCCAGTGTAGCGATATTAGGATCGCATAATTAAGCGCGGTGATAAAAAGTACACGACGGATTACAGGAAAAAAAAATTATATGACAACCGTGTTTGGGTTAAAACAAGCATGCGCTCGTAAATGTTTATGTACTCAGTCCATAATAAAATTTTAGTAGTTAATCAATACCTACGCCGACGTACACGGGGATACATAAAATATGAAGTCTCCATGGGGAAATCCGCGACTCGTATTTACGGAAAGAAGTGGGTAATATCGCGCAGTAGGAATGGAAAACTGAATGGTGGAAACTCTCGATTCGTTAAAGTTGCATGCGCGCCGTTGACAAAAAATTGCCGGTCGCCTTCGGCGGAGATTAAAAATTAATATTTAGCGAGAGATGTCGGGCTCATGCGACAAACTTTCTCCTTTCGAATTCTGCAGGAGTACGGCTTGGACCCCGATAATTTTCAATTATTTTCTTCCAAGTTTTGTTCTAGGTAATATACAAGATGTTAACGAAATAAGTACTCAAAATTGGAGAGTATGTAAACATGTCGAAATATGATGAAAACATTAGTAGAGTTTTACTCAGTGGCGGCCCCTAAGGGAGATACAGCCCCTTGAAGAGATAACTCAGGAAACAGTTTTTATTGCATAACTTCAAAACGATTTAATATTAATTCCCGAAATTTTGAGGTTGTATTACTATTTATATGCTTATTAATAGGCATAACATACAAATCAAAATTTGCCACAGGGGCCTAAGAAAATACGACATCATAGGGCAAATTTTACAATTTTTTTTGTACGCAATATTTTCTACTTCCTGAACCTAAATTATGAAAATTTAACATATTTTGCATAAAAAGGTACTTTTGTTAGATTTTAATAGCATGAGCCGTTTTCTAGTAAAATCCATTTCAATAATTCATTACTTGCTCAAAAATTCCTGCTGAAAATAAATGTATCCAATTGTGCCATGAGAAAATCACTATTTTTATTTAATTTTCCTTTGTAATGAATGTAATATGAATGTAATAATAAATTCAATACCTAAAATTTTTGGGAGACTTCAAATCACTATACATCACAAGAAATGTTGAATACCATATTTTTTTTTATTAAAATTATCTAAAGACCAGTAAATTTCACGAATACTTTACAAGAATATTTTATACCCACAAATTGATTGTACATTTTAAAAACATTTAAAATTATTTAAAAAACCAGTGGCGTACGATTTATTTTAAACAAAGGTCCCCTACTCCCCCAATAACTACGTCACTGGAGTGTATTTTGGAATAAGTTATCCATGAAAAAATAGTCCCTACTAAAAAAATGTCATCCCCCAAATTTTATCACTAAACATGTTTTGCCAGTGAAGTTACAGGAGAAATCATATAAATATTTGGAACTTTTGCGTTCTCTCAAAAATTTTTATAGGGCAAAACTTGATTATTTTCATCGGTAGAATACGCCATTAAAGTTTGGCAAAACTTATCATTAACACCCTGTATAGAATAAATATTGTTTTATATTGTGGGTTATAATTTACGTTATTTTTATAAAGTTTCAACCCTTAAAAACCACCCTTAATGATAAAAATATAAAATTAATAGTTTCTTTGGCCCTAAAATATTTTTATAGCACATATATTATCGAAAGAAATATTTTCAATAGTTTATGATATTATAAATAATTTATTACAATATTTCACCTCTTAAAAAACTACCCCTAATAACAAAATATTTTTAAAAAATAGTTTTTAACAGTTTGAAATGATTTAATAGTACAAACAGCATAAATTAAATTCTTTTACCTGTTTATAATACAATTTATAATTTATCGCATTGTTTTAACTCTTAAAATCACCACCTATGACAAAATATAGTAATCCAATAAACAATGCAAAATAATATTTTTTTTCGTAAAAACTTTCTAGCGATTTACTTTAATTGATGCAATATTCAAAATAATTATTTCTCAATATTTTTTCCATGCAGAAAGTCATAATTTCAAATTTTCAAATATTATATATTATTTTATTATGTATACCTATGAATGCTCCAATGGTGTGGAAAACCAAAATATTGATATGCTCCTAAAATTGAAGCGGTAAGGTACCGTTAGTTTTTTAACGATAACTTCCTTAATGTTAAAGCTATTAAGACGATCCAAAGACGAATTTACGGAAAATTTCGACAGCTAAAAGTACTGTAAAATTTAATATTTTGTAACGCGTTATTTTTGTGATTTTTGAGGGTTTGAAAAAGATGACCTTCGCCCTCAACTGCATACTTCTAGCAGCGAGCAACATCTCTGTTAATGTTTATCCTATATGAATAAAAAAGGCAATATATTCCGTGAAACAAAATCTAAACTTTTGTACTCTTGAATATTTTTCGTATCTTTTTTATTTCTAGTTATTTTCAAAAATATGTAATTTTTTGGAATAATTTTTTTTCAAACAAGAATATGCATTCTAAGCCACTTAAACTTGTATAATATATTGTTAGCACCTAATAAATGTAAATTGTAGAAGGATTACTTTATTACTTTTTATTTTAAATCTCGTGAAAGATTCATCAGTTTTTGTACTGATTTCTTTTCCTAAAAAACGAATTAACAGTTTTATTTTGATCATAACTGTTAATTTTTATGTTAATGACTTAAAGTCAAGTTTATTTTAAAGATTTTTAAAAGTACCTTAAAAAATGTTTTGTACATTTTTCTTGAAAAATAGAATTTTTTAGTTATTTTACGTTAAATGCTTCCAATTTAGTTTCTGGCGAACATGAAATATATCTTCAACTAGCCGTATCTCAGCACCTATTGCTACATCTACATAAATAAAAAAAACTCAATCTTTTTCTTTTTCTATAAACATCATTTTCTTCGTGATGTTTTTTCATAAAATGTCTATTTTCCGAGTTATTCGAGGAAAACTACTGAAAAACGTCTTTTTTTAATAAAAAATGTACATTTTAACCACCAACTCGGAAAATATTGAC